AAGTTTGCTATATGGTCATAGTGACCCAAGCGGACTGGGTGTGGCCTTCAGTCAGATTCAAGAGCCCCTTGAGAAGGTGGCCCCCAGCCCTGGGCACTCACCCAGCCCCCCGCCGTGCCCTGTGACCTGGTTCCTGTGGGAGCAGCCCTCCCTGGGGGCCCAGTGCAGGGACAGAGCTTGGCTGGCCCTGGGTGGACAGAGGAGAGGGCAGCTATTTGCATCTCCCTTCTTCCTCCCTGGGGGGAGCCCAGGGTGAGCAGACCTGCCAGGGCCTCTGCAGGCAATACCCCCGAAAAATACACAGAACTCCCCAACCAGGGGACAGGGCCAAACTCAGCTCCCTGTGGCATTTGACACAGTCTCCCGAGAGGGAGGAGGGCACCAACGGGGACCACCTTCAGGGTTCAGCTGGGGTACAGAGGAGAGACCCCCTCCTGCAGCCATCCCTGTGTGGACAGCCCCCACCTGAAACTCTCATTTCATGGATGAGGACGCCACAGCCCAGAGAGGTTTGTGATGTGCCAGGGTCACTTGGCTGGAAATGAGGAGCTGGAATCATGGCCCTGGTCTGACAGAGCCCTGAGCCGGGCTCTCTGTCCCACCCCTCCCGACCTTGGCCTCTGGTAACACCATAAATGCACTTGAAAAAGGAGCCGGCCATCTGTGCGACTGGACCCAGCCTCAGCCCTCCTCCACACCCTCGCCTCCCAGCTCCTTCCTCCCTGCCCCCATTCATTATCTTCGCAGCTGCTATGCCCACTGCACGGCTCTCTCCCTGTAGCCTGCAAAACATGTCTTTCAACACCCAGCCCAGGTGTCCCCTCCTCCAGGGAGCCTTCTTGGCTCTGTTGCCCGAGCCAGGTGCTTCCTCCAGGGTCCCCCAGACCTGGGCTTCTTTCTTTTACAGCAAGGACGCGATCCCCCTCTGAATTCTAATTATTTGTATACACGTGTGTCTCCCCCAACCCTACCACCCTGGGAGTTCCTTGAGGGCAGGCATAGAACTTTGTGTTCACCTTTGTGTCCTCAGCCCAGCCTGGAGCTTGGTACAGAGCAGACAACAGAAAGAATGAGTCAGAGGTCCCAGTGGACCACTGGCCAGATGCTGCCTGCAGGCCTTAGCAGAAATGAAGCCCCATCGCAGATGTAGATTGTAGGACCTCCAGAGGTGTAATTAAGATTTTAGAGTGAGACAGAAACACAGGGACTTCTCTGGTGTCATTAATCAATGTAAATGATGCCACTAACACGCAAAGGATGGTGACAGAATGTCAAGGTCAGGTATTGGTCAAGGGAGCTGTGGGCAGAGGGTGGGGCAGGCAGGAGCTGGGGACCTGGGTTCCAGGGGGATGCAGGGAAGAACCTAGATGGTCCCCTCCAGGCCAGGGAGGGGTGGCCTGCCAGTTGCCTGCCAGCCTGGGATCCCAAGCGCAAGCTCATGTCCCCCAGGTCCATGCCTTGCTCCCCAACCCTCCCTTCACCGCGGGATCAGTGAGAGCACTCTGTCAGGCTCCAGGACACTCAGAGCAGTGGCCCGGGGACATCTACTCCTCTCCGCACACAGGCAACACGCTGGGCCTGCCTGTGGCAGGGAGTCAGTTCAGAGGCCACCCTCACTGCCCTTCTAAGAAGTGTGCCTTGCATCTCATGAGATCGCCCCCAGGCCAGTTTCAGCCTAGGCATTGGATGTGGGGTCAGGAAAGAGGAGAAGCCTGTGAGGTATTTGTCCCCACCTCATCCAGAAGCCAGTCCACTCCATTCAGGAGAAGTGCTATTGGGTGAGGGCCCAGAGGCCCCAGGGGCCAGATGGGAGGCCAGTCTGCAGGTCCCTCACCCACAAGGAGGTGGCCCTCCCTAACCTAGCGAGCGTCTCGGGAGCCAAGTCCGGCCAGGTGGCTCTGACAGTTTAGGAGAAACCAGAAATCAGGATTCTTATGTGAAATACACAGATGTTCAAATGTTACCCCAGAAATGAGAGACAAAACGTGTGGGAGGGGACAGCAATGCCAGGCCTACAGTGGCGGCTCGGGAAAATGGGATGCGCAGGAGTGGGGGGCTCCCAGGGCACACACAGCAGCAGTGGCCGGGAGGGCTCAGGCCCAGGCGGCTGCATGGCAGGGTGCCGAACAACCTCTAATCCGAACAACCTCTCTCTGGGGTGAATGCACCAGGTCCCTTTTCACAGTGAGGAACTAAGGCACAAGGAGGTGAAGTCACTGGCACAGAGACACACAGTGGCCTTGGTGAAGCCAGGCTTGAACCCCAGATCCCAGGGACAGGACGCCTAGCAAATTTTCCTAAATACAGTAGTTCCCCCTCATCTGGCTAGCACCAAACCCCACATCCACTACGCGTACATTTCGTTTCTGAATTAGGCACAGTAAGAGATGAATAACAATAGCCAATAATAAAACAGATCAATCCTGACAATATTGCATAATCATGTCAATGTAGCCTCTCTCTCTCCAAATATCTTCTTGAACTACCCTCACCTATTTTTGGATGGTGGTTGGCCACGGGTAACTGAAACTGTGGATAAGGAGGAACCACCCCCCGTTATGTGGCTCGGGCATAACAGAAAAACAGTGTTTTGTGGGTTTTGTGGTGGATTTTTTTGCACTATGGAATTGCTATCTTCCAAGCCCCCGTCAGAGACTTACTTCCCGTTTAAAAGGACTCATCGGCGCAGGCAAGGAGAAGTCCCAGAAAACTCCTGGCAGACTCTTGGGTCACTGTGAGACCCTCAGCCTCTCTTCCTTGGGATTCATGTGACACTAGGGAGGGAGACCCCAAAAATGCCTGAAATGGGATTTTCCTTCCACCTCTGGCCAAGCCTGATGACATTTGGTTTGTTGAATTGTGCCATGTGTCTGTCCAGTCCTATGGCACGGCCCACGCACTGTGCTTCACTGTCACAGCACCGCAGGAGGAGAGGCTTTGTCATAGTTCCCTCTGCAGCTGAGGGAATCCCAGCCCAGAGGCTCGCTCCAGGCCCAGGGTGCTCGCAGGGGCTGAGCCAGGGCGGAAGGAGTGGCCCCCGCGGTCACATGCACACCAAAAGGGGGGAGATGGGGCCAGGACCACAGTCAGGGCAGGCGAGGGTGCAGTGGTGGGAAGGACACAGAAACACAGACCTTACACCAGGAAGGCTGTGGAAGGCCCAGGCCAGCCGCAAGGGTGGTGCGACCTGCCAGGATTGTGGCGGATACAATTTGCCTAGCCTCAGCCCTTGTACCAAAACATAGAATTTTGCAGGGGAGTGGATACAAAAGTAACTCATAGTCAACACAGGAAATCGGAAAAGTGCAGGAAAAAATGCAAAAGAAAATTTAAATTGTTCATAACAATACTAACCAGAAACACACTGTATATGGTTTGGAATATTTCCCACCAATGTGTTTGGGGGGTTTTTTGTGCAATCAAGATAATACTGTGTATACAACTATCTAATAGGCTTTATTGCAGTAAACTCAGTAGCAGCTTCCCCATTATGATAATAATTGTGAACACCCACTTGTAATAAGCCCATGGTGTCCCAGCCGGGAGCCACCCTGCGGGATTTACTCAGCCTTCCCTTTTACATGGACAGCTATGTTGTCTCATTTTTCACATTCACAAACAACTCACAACAAGAAGAACATAATTGTGAAAAAAGATTTTTCTTTTTTACTGTCTTTTGCATTTAAAAAATTTGGAACATGGAAACAATTCAAAGACTACAAAAGGATATGTAGAAAAAGTGAGTTTCTCTCGTTCATTCCCACTACCTTTGCATCCTGAGGCAGCAGCTGGTCCTGGGCACTGTGTCTCCTCTAAGAGGCTTTCCACACACATCTAAACACACATACTCCAACACTCGCTCCATTTTCTCCACAATCCGCAGCACGCAGCCTGCTGTGTCCACCTCACATACACACTGGACCTTGTCTTCACTGGGCTGTCCAGATGAGTGAGTGGCTACAGAATAGCATGGTGGGTGAGTGTCTCGTGAGCTGACAAACCAGCTTTCCAGAAAAATGCAGAGCTCTGAGTTGTAGCCATTGCCGATGCCCATGGTGTAAATATTGCACCGTGTCGGGGCCAAGCTACCAACAGTCTAACAACTGGCTGGTGAATTGTCCAGAATACTTAACACTCATCTCTCAAGAGCCAGAATGAGCTGGCTCTAGCCCAGAAGGTTAATAGCCTTTTGTATGGAGGAGTGGGATAAGAAAATGATAGCCTAAATAAATAAATAAATAAAAAGAAAATGATTGCCTTAGGATTAATCCCCAGATGTGGAATTTCTAGATTCAAGGATATAAACATTTTTATTTTTATTTTTATTTTTATTTTATTTTATTTGAGACAGGGTCTCACTCTGTCACTCGGACTGGAGTTAAGTGGCTTGATCATGGCTCACTGCAGCCTTGACCTCCTAGGCTCAAGCAATCCTCCTGCCTCAGCCTCCTGAAGCTGGGACTACAAACGTGCACCACCATACCCAGCCTTAACGTTTTTAAGGCATTGGTAGATTAACCAAATTACCACCAGAAAGGCTGGGCCAATTCACATGCCCACCTGCCAAGGCCAAGCATGCCCATCTGAATACACCTTCACTCATGTTGGGTGCTCTCAGGTTTTTAATCTTTACTAAAGAATGGGAAATATCAGTGTCATCTCGTGACTTTAATTTGCATCAAGGCAGAAAATGATGCAACTGTATTCTTAAAATCAAACATTTTTTATATTCCATTGGTTGTAACTATTCAATATATTATTTTGATTTTAAAAATTCAAAACTTGCCATATATAGGTGGATAGCATTCAGTTATGAAATCATTAGGATTCCCCTCTCCACCTATGGTTGTTAGCAAAATAATGCCCGTCTGTTTTAAAAGCCTACTGAAAAAAAAAATTAATGAAATAACAGCAAAGAGGAATTGTGATTTCTCTTTCTATAAAATGTAGATATTAAAATTCCCAAATACCTCTATGACAGCAATATTCAGGAAATAATATTTTATAGTAAACATTTTTAATAAACAGCAGCATAAAATAATCAGTGTTTAATATCATCTCTGGTGTGTGAAATACAAATGCATATATCCTTAATATAAAATAGCCTTTTTGTCATTACAATTCAATGTTTGTCTATTTGAAATGCCCATAATAACAAATCAAACATTAAGTAATACAGTGATTAAATGCATGCAGTGAAAATAAGGAAAGATATGGTAGGGTGAGATATCTGAAAATTGCCGTTATATATTTGAAGAAAATCTATATCAAGTTAAAAACAAAGGAAACAAGAAAAACAGACCAGATATAAAAATGCAAAGATATATTTTCACTTCTGTGACACAAACCATAAGCATAGTTTTGTGCAAAAAAAGAGAAAAAGATCTGAAAACAAAGTCATCTTACAAAACATTGTCGGCAAAGGAAAAGATATTTTTCAGTTTGTGAAAAAAATACTATTTTAATACAAAAGAGACTGTGTTATATAGTATCACAGTGCGATTATAAAATACATTATTACAAGTGGTTTTGAAATTTCATTTGCTCACTTTAATGTTTTCAGTTATTATAAAATGTTTACAATAAATGTTATAGTTCTTTATAAAAAACTAACTTGAATTTACTTTTTAACCATAATAATGTTTTACCAGAGTAGGTATTTTACTGGCTCATGGAATGCTAATTTCCCTTTAAGGGACTTCTAGAAAAACTCAGATTCACTGAAATTGTGTACTTAAAATAATAAATATTCTTGGAAAACAATTGATTGTCATATGATATACAAAATTGTGGTTTGACGCTTCATCATTAAACAGTTGCATAGCAACAAAAGGATACAAATATTCTCCTCTACCTAAAGTTAAGAAACGTAACTTCTGAATCAGCTTATTTATGCCACAAAAATAGGTCTTAATTTATCTCCCAGAAATCTGGATATAGCCAATTCTTCGAGTTCACAGTACCTGTAAGTTCATGTTTGTTATTTGAAGACTCAGGTTTGGGAAAATTGCAATGCATTTTGGTAAACATATTTTCTTGATTTCTCATGCAAGTTGTATTTTGTAAAAATGAAAACATCAATGTGTTTTTAATTCTCTTATATTCTCCTCATCAAATATCATTTCTGGGAATTACTTTTATATCCTGTAAGTCTCTTTACAAGTCTCTTATACCTTTAAAGTAAAAATGAGACTTTGAGACACTGTTCTTAGAACAAAGGAGGGTTTTTTTTAACAAGAAAAAAATCAAAAGTAAAATTACTTTCTATATAGAACTTGAAACGCGTAAGAATTCTAAACTTGGCAAAAGATGGTTGGCAGGTAAATGCCACAAGCTGCACATCTGAAACCTCCCACTAAGGCAAAAATGGTCATGTTGCTTCTGTTTGCTAGTTTAAAGAATTCAGTTCTTGGTAACTTTTGAAATGAGAACTCAGTACTTGCTTTTTAGGAAGACCATCATATTTTGCAAAATAGAATTAATTGCCTTTGGATTCCAACTAACTGTATGAATAAATTGTTGTAATTCTTGGGGCGGGAATCAAATCTGTGATCATTACCAGCACAGAAAAAAAGGGAGAGAAACTTAAAAATTACTAGACATTGGTATCATGATGGAGTTTCCTACTTCCCTAGAGTCCATTGACCATAAGCACCCCAATGCCTTGGACAACTTGTAAACAGGGAGTTGCAAGGGGTGGGTGTGCTCATCTGTAGCCACACACTTATTTTTCAGTGTTACTGGTTCCAGAAAACTCCTTTGGGGGCTGTCCCCATGGGAACCCTTTTTCCTTTCCCACAGAAACTGATCTAGGCTGTGGGGCCATTTTCCTGGCTGTGCTTCCTTTGGCGCCTCATTCCTAATCCAGCAAAGTGAACTATCAACCAACAATCAATTCTAACATCCACATCTAGCCTTTTTATGGTCTGATGCCCTGTGTTATTCCAAGGGCAGTGTAAGCACACTGTGAGAAAATCTGGGAAAGACCCTCATGATCAGAGGAGGATTCACAAAAAGGCACACTCTACACCTTCTCAAAGAAGCCCAACGACATAGAAGGCTTCAGGGCTTGTTATACTTGTCTTATGGCTCATTTCCCTCCAGGGTTTCAAATTTGGCCTGAAGTTTCTTCATTGATTCTGAACATCATTTCCATAAGAACATGCGCAGAGTCTAAACCGAATCAATATAATTCCTGAACATCCGTCCTGAAGAAAAGACAGCAGGTAGACAAATGCTATGGTATATATACATCTGGGGGAGAGACCAGTCATGGTGACTGAAGGCTAAAACACAAAGCACCATTTGACTTTTGGTTTTATATTTAATCACAAGGTTCTTTTTCTCTTCACTGGTGTGCAGTTTTCAGTACTTGAAACCACATGTTCCAATCCCAATGCCATGTCATGCACTCCAATGGAGTGTACATCCCACAATGTTTTTTTTTTTTCTGGCCTAGTGTCTGTCCTGCTTGGTAAGACACAGTCAAACTTCACAGAAGATACTTGTTGCGATGTCTGCTAAATGAGAACCTTACTTTAATAGAAACATTTGAATATAAATCTTTTCTACGGCCGTCTAGTTTGTCCTGTATACCACATTTACAAAAGTTGTGCATTTTACAGTTCTGCAGAAATCATAGATTCGGTGTGTCCATGAATATTGGCATCTCCTAGCAAAGATGCTTGCTTTGCATCAATTTTGTACGGTTTTTGAGATTTGTTGCCAAAAACGGTGATACCCATTCCACCAGGATGATTTGGAATTGACATGTGTGGTAGTAAAGGAATATTTGCTTCCTGATTGGATCCTGATGAGGGCAAGCTAGTCACATGGCCAGTGCTAGTCGACCCACTGGCACTGCTTGGGGACCGACTCTTGGGAGGCGGGCAGTGCTGAATCACTCTGGGAGGACCTGTTGGCTGGTAGTGGGCAGCTGGAAACGCTGCATATCCAGGAGGTATTGGGTATCCATTGATGGGAATGAATCGCTGGTTCTGAGGTATTGGCGGGCCAATGAAACCAGCAATCTGGCCCTGTGGTGTAATACCCTGGCTCGGGAATATGTAATTAGGATATCTGGGGTTACTGAGATTACTCACTGGGCTGGCACTGAGGGAGGTTGTCTGTGTGGTGGCATTTCCCCCCGAAGGAGTAGTAGAGCTGGTGTGACTTGACAGCCCCTCCCAGGACCGAAGCCGGACGTGAATATCTTTAAATCTTGGTCTCCTGGAAGGAATCTCATTCCAGCACTCTGTCATGAGGCTGTACATTCTGGGTGGGCAGTCTTCAGAGCATGGTAAGAGCTGCCGTTTTCTCACCATCTCAATCACTTCCTGGTTACTGAATCCATAATATGGCTGGAGTCCAAAACTGAAAATCTCCCACAGGACAACCCCAAAGGACCAGATATCTGAATCGGAAGAGAATTTGCCATACATGATGGCTTCAGGCGGCATCCAGCGAATGGGCAGCAAGGACTTACTCTGGACTCTGTAGTAATCAGCGGAGTAAATTTCTCTGGAAAGCCCCAAGTCTGAAATTTTTACATGAAGTTGCTCTCCGATTAAAATATTGCGAGCTGCAAGATCCTTGTGGACAAAGAAGTGACTAGACAGGTATTCCATGCCGGCTGCAATCTGAATTGCAATGTGCAGAAAATCTCCATGGTCCAGGCTGGATTTCACAGTCCCATCTTCATCACTACTGCAGCCAACATCAGAGTGTGGGGATCGCATGATGAGGAACTCATGGAGATCCCCCTGATTCATATATTCAAAAAGCATGCACACAGGTTGTTCCTGAGTGACGGCACCTAGCAGGCAGACAATATTGGGGTGGTGCAGTTCTGCCATTAGGGAGGCTTCTTGTTGAAATTCTGTCCATTGCTGGGGATTGTTATAATCTTTCAAGGTCTTGATAGCAACCAGCTGAGCATGGTCCATGCCTGGGAGATAGAGATGGCCTTTATAGATTTTTCCAAAGGCACATTCACCCAATTCTTCCATAAAGCGTACAGCAGAAAGAGGCAGCTCTTTAGCCTTGCTCTGTATGAAAGAGAGGAAAAAGGTGGTTTAAAATATTTCTTCAGGCAAGACAGCTTTGCATCCGAAAGGAGGGATGGGGCATATAGAAAAAGGTTCTATAAACAAATTAAATAAAATATTGTAGGTCTGTATATCTTTCAAATTGTTGGCTGCAACTCAGGGGAGGTGCCATAGGCAACTTTCCATCACTACCCTATCCCCTTCCCTCAACCCAGCCCCGAAATGGTTTCTTGCTGTTGTCTAGAGTCTTGGCACTCGAACTGTGGTCTGGGGACCAGCAGCATCAGCATCACCCAAACTTACTGCAAATGCAGACTCTTGGGCCCACCTCAGACCTACTGAATCAGCAAGACCCCAGTGGTTTCTGTGAAGATTAGGGTGTCAGAAGCACTATCGCAGAGGCTACAGCCTGGTACTCAAGAGCATTTGTAATCTGGTCCTAACTCACTTTCCTGACATGATCCCTTGCTACTTCTTTAGTTAAACAGGTTTTCTCAATGTCCACCCCCGAAACCATTTACATTGTTGCGTAATACTTTTGTTCCTCCAATGTTCTGCCATTCTTAGAATATTTATTGTGCTAAAAGAGAAACCAAAACAAAAGATTGTCCTTCTGAAGTACTCACGATAGAGATGGGAAGGTCTGAAATGTGGTCCTCTCCATTGATTAAATCCTTTCTTTTCTAAAAAGTCTGTTTCAGGCCCCACTTCCTGCAAAACCTTCCCTGACCACTACGGTCATTTCTTTGCTAGAATCTTTTGCCTTTACTGTGAATGCCACCACACACACAAAGCAGTGTGGTGGCTGGTTACACACGTGGCCTCCACAGCCAGACAGTCTGAGTCGGAATCCTGCCTTCTCTACTTACCAGCTGTGTGACCCCGGATACAACATTTAACTTCGTGCCTCAATTCCTTCATCTATAAAATGGGATGATAATAATTGTACTTACCATGTTATTGCAAACTTTAAATGAGTTAATGTTTGTAAAGCACTCAGACCTATGAGTTAATGTTTGTAAAATACTCAGACCTATGTCTGGCCCATGATAAGTACTATTTAACCTTTTGTTATTATCATCAACTTGATGTTTCTGTTCTTTTATGCACATATTTTGTCCTCACAACCAGATTTCAAGGGAAATCTTACTGGAAGCACTGCCCTTCATACCAACATATATCCCTAGGGCTTCTCAAGTGGGTTCTTTATTAATTGACCTTAAGACAGACAGGTGAAGGCATCTAGCTCACAATGAAAATAAGTATTGAATCATGACATTTGATCTTGGCACGTAAATGTCTATAATGTCATATGTTTTTACTATTTTAAAATATACCTCAAATTTAGTCTGATGTTTCATTTAATTTGTTAGAAAAGAAAGTAATAAAAACAATGCATTTTACATACAACTGATTTTCAAATAATCCCCATCCTTGAAATCCTTATTTTTTAAAAAAGAATACTACCCTGAAAATTCTAATTGAAACTGACAATGTTGAAATACATATGAAATCCAGAGCTCTCTGTACAGAGTTTAAAACAACAGTTTAGAAAATTTGGTAAAAAAATTCTCTTATCCAAACTCTGCTAATTTAGAATTCATGGTAATTAGATTTGTTCTAGGCTGATATTTTCCAGGGCAAAATGCCCACTAACCTAATTGTAAGTGTAAATAAACTTGTAGCAAAATACCCACTTAAAAGGACAAATTGGGATTGGGGATTTTAGAACATTAATTATTCTATGCAAATAATCTGTCTCATTATAAATTGGTCTCATTTGTTCATCAAAGCAGACTTTGTGAGGTTTATATTTGGAAATGAGTTTTAGAAAGTTTACTTGTACAGAAAGTAATGGTGTGTTGCTTTAAACTTTCAGCAAATTAAAGCTTATTGATCTAGTTCTATTCAATATAGTATTGTTTGTAACAGCAAAATATTACAAATGACCTCCATGTCCCCATAGAGAACACATTAAATCAATTACAGTGGAGCTAGCAAATAGAATATTCTACATTTGTAAAAAAAGAATGAGGACGTTTCCTATGTACTGGTATGGAAAGGTCTACAAAATCCTTTGCTCAGCTAAAAATAAAAAGCAACAGAACAGTTAATGCTGGGTGCTGCTTTTGTGTAAGAGAGAAGGAGAAAAATAACACATGAAATATATTTCTTTGTATAAGCATAAAGAAACTATAAAAGGATACTTGGGAAATAGATAGCAGTGATTATTGGGGGTATGGAAGTAGGAACTAGAAAAAGGGGGCAGAAGTGAGAGATTTTTCACTTCATGCTTTTTTATGCTTTGAAATTTTTCAACCAGGTGAAAATATTAACAATGCTCAAAATTAATTAATTTTTTTAAAAAAACAGGGAAATCTTCCCATCTTACTGAACTAGGAAATATCTTTTGCAATTACAAGTCCATCCACCATTTTTCCTTTTGCTTTTAGGGTCTGTATTCTTGTGGGAGCTCGTGGAATTCCTTTGAGAGAGCAAGGTGTGGGTAATGAGAAAGGTAACCAGTCGAGCCAACCCTACTTTTTTGTCTTGTAGCGCTCGGAAGATTTTACTTTTGCTGGGAAGAGTAACCCAAAGTGAATTTTTCCTGCATGATGTTAAGATTGGAGATTTCCATCAGAACTTTTCCTAATGATGTACATAAATCCAGTTTAGGTGAAGGTCCCCTGAATGGCACAGTAGATATCACTTACTTTTTGACAAAAATAAGATCTCTAGGCTTTTGGAGATAGAGAAGTTTAAGGGACTGAGTACTGAAACTTCTTTGTGGAAAATGGGAATTAGGAAGTAAACTCATGGAATATTAGACTGGTATAATGAGGAGTTAGAAACCCAATACCCTCTCCTCCTTCACTGCTTGAAACAAATCCATAGGCAGTATGGTATAATTCAAACCAAGTGAGCTGTGGACTCCTATAAATTTGGGTTTGCGTCTTGAATCTGCTGCTTTCTATTAATAATAGTTAATACTTACATAGCACTTACTTTGTGCCAGTTACTGTTCTAAGCACTTAGCAAATATTAGCTTATTTAACACCATGATCCTGTGGCATAGGCCCTATAATATTAATCACTGACCTTGGGTGAATTTCTTAACTTTTCTGAACCTCTGTTTCCATATCTATGAAATAATGTACTATCTAGCTTGCGGGGTTGCAGTAGAAATTAAATACAATGATGTATGAACGTAATTGCCACCTAATAAGTGCTCTTTAAATCATTCTTATTGTCCTTATTAGGAAAGTCATCCATGAAGTAAAGTAATGCAAATAATTTAGATCCATTTAAGCCTTAAGTAGTTCCAGAGTATTTAAATTTCTTCCTGTTAATCTTTCTCTGTTCTCCTGCAGTTGTTAGTTTAAAAAAAAAAAAAAAAGCAAGCTTTAAAAATGACAGAGAATTTGTTTTGGAGCTTGAGGGTAGGTGAGAAGTTGAGTGGCCTGTGGCTGGCTCCTCTGAGATGTGAATGAAGGTGAAGGCAACAAGAATTCATGTAGAAAAGTGGATGGTAGCAGATGGGAAAAGGAAGTAAGCCAGTCAAACTTCTGGAGGTGGGAAAAGAGGAAGAGGTGGACAGGACCTTGGCACCAGCCCTACACATGGCCTTGGGGCTTCGTGGTTAAGACCAGCTGCATTCCCCTCCACTGAGGTAAGCACATTTGTTCTCATATATTTGCCTTTGGAAAAAGAACGCTTAATTTTGCCATTTTACAGATGGAGAAAGGGGCTAAAGAAAGTATCAAGAATTTTCAGGAGAGCCGAAACAGCCACACTTGCAACTCCAAGGCTCTCTGTTTTGGGCCACAGCATTCTGTTTGAAACCAGAGAAGCCTGCTGGCCAGCAATTCCAGATTGAAGCCGAATGTCTCTGGAGGCTCAGCCTGAGGCCTGCCACCTTGCAGGGCTAGGAGGTTGGCCTTCAGTATGTGGTCACTCTATGGAATTATAATTGTTCTTTCTCCCTGTTCAGACACATGAAAGAAAGCAGATTTTACCCCGAAGTATATCTTGTCCTATCTCACCAATATCCAGTGCGCCATATAGCATATAATCCCAAGTCTTCTCCAAGGAGTCATTTACTAGAGCTACTGAAAACTAAATTTGGGGGGTTTGCTTTGCAAAGAGGCATGGAAATCTTCTAAAATGGCAGAGTCCACAAAATCTTCCCTTCGAACACCTGTGCAGCTGCCAGCAAAGAAGTGCCCAGAAAAAAAAAATGCTCCTAGCTTGGTTTCAGGGGAACAATTTCCACAGTGATTTGCATTTTTAAGGTGCTCAAGTTACCTGGTACAAATGAGTCCTAACTATAGACTCATTTTCAAATTTTACATAAATCCTGAACTAGTTAAAAAATCATAAAAACTCTTAAAGAAGCAGTCAGTAGACTGTACGGTGACGGCAGGAAATTAGCTGTATTGTTGAGGAACAGATGGTTTACATTATACAAACCCTTTAGGCTAAACTTGTTTAGGTCTGGCATATTGTAAATTATATTTTAGTAATGAAAGTGAAATGACCTCTGCTTGACCTCAAGTGGAGTTTGTCTGTTTGAACCAATGTAGTGGAAAACTATGAAAGAAAATGAAGTCATAAAGTTTTGGCAGTTCAATTTTGGCTCATTTCAAGTTAAGGGGTTATAAATCTGTTTAGTTTTTGTTTGACAAGTATTTGTCATACAGGGATGTACAAAATGTAAAGAAGTGTAAAATACACATAAGGCATGGTGCCAAAGTAAACCAAGTACAAAGGAAAACTGGAATGAATAGGGTCCCGGGCTCCTATCTCTTTATCACTCCCTCCATTAGTTGAAGGACAAGATGGCCTCGGTTTATTATATGCTGTAAGGCAATTAAGTACCTTAAAACTGAAACAGGCTTTCAGTTTCAATGTTAACATTTTTATTTCTCAAAGTAAACACACATCTGCCTTTAAAAAATTATATAAAATTATTATATAAAATAAAAGTTGATGCAGAAGTT